ATCGATGCGTTTCAAAAAGGCGGGGCATAGAGGAGAAATAAAAATGTACAGTATGTGGAAAATAGTGTTTTTTGTTTTTACTTTAAACCGCATAAACATTTCATTACACCAAATGATGTTCTTTTTAGCAGCATCATCATATGACCCCTTTAACATTCTGAACATAGAACAGAATTCAGATAAGACAAAAAAAAAAACTTTTACTTTATAAACACCATCATGGCGGATAAACAGTCTTACTTGGCGAGCGGCCGTGGAAGTAATTATAGTATTGTGAGACATATGTGAGAATGCTGAGTCTGTCTGGGACAGGCAAAGCCACCATGTCCTCTGCATCCAGAAGAGCTGGGATTCCCAGATGATCTTCAGCCACACAGAACGCCTGCAGCACATCACAGGACACAAATCAGCCATTAAGTTCACAGCTACAACACCACATAATGGGGGGGATGAATCCACACAGAAAACAACAATCTGACGACCACAACGACGAAAGACAAGAACCCTGCGTTTATAACAACCATTGAACATGCTCATTCAACATAACCCCATACGATTGTTTCAGGCCGCAGATATCATGCTGTGGAAACAGTTTTCTAGGGGAAAGGCACTTGGCCAATTAACTGTAAACACAGACAAGGCACAAAAGAGGTAGACATCAGAAATAGAATAGGCCAGTAAGCAGCACGATCTGGCACCACATCAAGACGGCCCGGGAAGGGAGTGCATAATGAATAGCACATTTCCTGTGCGCGCAGCAGCCTGGGAACAGGGACAGGAGAGGGGGATAGCAGGGCATTGTTTAGGCCTGACCTGGACACACTCATTAAATTTTACAGGACAGCTGAGGAAGGGGTGGCATATCCTCCATGATGCAGCTGCAACTTCCTGCTTCTCTTTTGTGTTACAGCACTGAGGGGCTGATAGTATGAAAAACATTTTAGGTAAATATTGGCTGGGTTTAAACAGCACACTGGTGGAAGTATTGGTATTTAAATGCACCATATTCTTTGGTGTTTAAATGCACAGATGAACTAACATTTGTAAACACAGTAGTAGAACAGAGGTAAGTTAATCTTGACAGAGAGGATCAGGTGCCTGACTGTCACCCTTCTTTATAATACATTAACTGGACAGAATCCACACGGCTCGGGTTCAAACTACAGAAGTCTATAGAAGTGGTGAGGGTTTGTAATATATCTCAGAGTGTGTGGCTTATAATCTACAGTCACGGAGGAAGCAACGTGAGGAAGAGCTCATCATTAGGAAAAAAAAAAGTCCAAATTGTCTTCCTCACCACCTCATTCTCATAGAAGCACTTCCTGACAGGGATGAAAAATAATCACTGGTCGGACAGCATCCATATCCTCAAAAGCAAATTAAATCTTACATGTAAAGCCTACACTATCAGAATGAAAATTGTTGGTTCAAACAATTAAATTAGATTAACAATTTAAAAATACAAACATTTATACATGCCAAGGTACCAAATATTCTCTCAGCAATCTGAAATCTACCACTCTAGAAATGTTCATAACATAAACTGAAACTTACAAATTGCCTGTGAACAACAGATCAAATGATCAAAGCATAAATGTGGAATCCATAAAATGAATAAATAGACCCAAATCGATCTAGATAGCAATTACTCACTGGAGAAAAATAAATAAATAAACTGAAACCTGAAAAATAAAATTGGATGGTTTAGGACAATATTCTTCCCCCTTACCCGAGTTCACAGAGTACAAGCTTGAAACAGACGTTTAACTGCAAGGTAATGTTCGCAGAAACTAAAGGATATCTTTGTGCCAAAAGCTATGGCTGGAAGACTTGACCCATAAATAGGCTCTTTTATGGAGCAACAAGTCTCATCCATTTAAGAACTCTGTAAACATTAGATCACATGCATTTCACAAGCTGTGAGAAGAGAGTCTTAAGTGCTCTTATTCATGTCATTATGCGAGAAACAACGTATAAGTACATAAGGCTGGGTTACAAACAAACATCCAGCCAACTTGTCAAAAACAAAACAAACAAAAAAATCAATAGTGCATTATCACGGGACTGTATCAAACACACATCTGCACAGGATACAGCTAAAACTAACTGCAAAACACGCAAGCTATGGGTCACCCTGCATCAGGTCTGTTGTAATTTCCTATGATCAAGGCCAAACGGAATAACTTACCAAGTGGTTGTTGTAATACACATTGTCTTTGGAGAGAGACTCAAAGTTTCTGAAAGAAAACAAGGACATGAGTCACCAGACAGATAGAAACCTTGAGAAGTGTTACAATACAATGCTGATGCTAAAGTAAGCTGATGAATGTTTAATAATAATGTAAAAGTTTTTAAAAGGTCACAAAACCTACAATATTAACATTTTACACAAGTAGTAGGCCTAAAGAAAAATACAATTGATGGCGGAGAATGAATAAATAGTGAGTGTATACTGTATGGGCAGGTGACCCAACATGCCCATAGACTGTGGTCAAGATTTTGGGTTAAATATGTAAATATTACGTCATTTGAATTAATAAAAGGAAAGAGTAAATCTTGGGTCACAAATTTTTGCACTCATTTTTGTCTCTACAAGTTCATTGAAAATAGTCCTGTAATGAGGCATACAAATATTCCATGTAGTATC